GAGAAGTCGATCTTGTGGGTAATAAATATTGAGCGGATATCAGCATAAAAAATATGCATCTTGGTGAAGCCTACTTGATTTATGTAAAATTTTAATGTCTTATTTTTAAATACGAAGAGCCCATGGACGACTGGCACTTTGTTTTAAATTTTATAACCAGCAGAGAGAGCGATCGTGTGTGACGACAATGAAGGGGCGGCAAAACAGGTATAATCTCGAATTGGTAATAAACTAAACAATAGCCAAACACTCTTTATCGGAATTGTGTAATGACGCTCACCTGTAGATAATACACAGCGATCATAAGCGGTGACTCCTCCTAGCGAGAGTTTGTCTTGTGTCAGAACAGCCCCGATTACGGAGCCACTGGCACCTGTGGGCAGAGTTGTATACGTTCCTCAAGAAAAGGAGTATTGCATGAAATGTGAACATGCGAATTTGAATGCCGTGGCAGAAGGGCACCAGGAGAAGAAAACAATTGGAAGCAGGGTTTCACTTCTTGATGTATTCACCTTCAAAAATATCAGCTTTTAACTCTATCTATGTTTGTGGTGGGCAATTTAGACGAGCCAAATGTACTGTTATTTCACATTGAACGAGCGTTTTACAACAACCTCACACGTTTCAATCTAACAAAGTTCCTTGTTCGAACTTAAGAACAGTTGCTTCTCGATGTTGCTTTTCGCAGAACGAGGAAGTGAAGAACAGGGTAGGGAATTGGAAGGTCAGTCTTGAAAACTTCAAGTCTTCGGGAAGTGGATTCGTTGTTGCTTTGACACGCTGCAGAAGCATTTCATACCAACCAGCTCAGCTCCAGGCATTCGTTGTTCATATTGAAGGCGGGGGACAAGAGGAGAAAGAACAAAAGCTAAGTTTTATGTCTATTTTGAAGTCATTAAACTTCGGGGTTAAAGGGTGGGTTAAAAGTCTGTAAACTGTTCTTTCGTTGTAACTGTAGGTCTCTTTGTGGAACTTCAGTGATGGCTGTAGTCGGCTTTACATTTCTGGGTGTATGAGGATTCCTGGAAGCAATTAAAGTAGCTGAGTTTGAAACTTTCCTTTTTCTTTGTCATTTAATTTAACTAAAGGTTTTTGGTTTTGTACCGTATCCTCGCGCAATAAAAAAAATGTCTACTAGGTCTCCTGTACCCGTCTATTACCAAGCGAGGACCACACAAATTAAACCCTGAGATAAGTAACCAAAACGTGAACGAGATCGTACTCTTTGTAGAGGATTTGCATTTTATACTTTTAGGATTTTCCTCTAAGAAATATGGTAAAAATTAACTCACTGGACAAAAAAAAGAACGCCGGTCCTGTTCCAGTTCCTGTAAAAATGTAACGAGTTCCTGTTCCAGTTCCCGCAATGAAAAATGAAACAGCGGCGTTCCTACGTTCCTCCCTATGGAAGTTTAAATGGTGTGCTTTATTTTCATAATTTTTTGATCAGCCACCTTTTGGATGTGGAAATGCCGACACCCCCAGTCCTGTAGACGACAATTTTTTTTCTCGGCTTTGGAGCCACCTATTGTAAAGTTTGAATTGAAAGTACCGTCCACTGGTCCCTTTGTATACCTGTAAACTGTGCACCTCTCAAGACGAGTGGTAGTCTCTTGACAGCCTTTGACGGTCAAAAACGGTTCCCATTTAGTTACGGCACCCAAACTAAATTTCTACCTGGTTTCCTTGTGTTGCCCCTTTTGGTATAATAAGCTTTGTGTCAAGTTACGGTCATGTTCAAGTACCCATGTGCCGAAAATCGGCACTTCGCACAACCATGCGGGTCAACACCTGACCGCAATAGCCTTTGACAGCCAAACCGTGTGTTGGCCAACAACTTTGTTTTCTCGGCTTTTTAACCACCTTTCGTAAAGTTGTTTCTATTAAAAATACAGTCTACTGGTCCTTTCCTACCTGTAAAGTATCCAGCTCCCACGGCGAGTGGCATTCTCTTTACAGCCCTTTCACAGTCGAAACCAGTTCCCATTCAGTTACGCCGCCCAAGCCAAATTTCCACCTGGTTTCCCTATTCCACATATTTATGTATAAGAAGTGTTGTGTCAAGTTACGGTCATGTCCAAGAACCTGTGTGCCTAAATCTGCACTTCGCACAGCCCGGTTATAACACAACATTTGGGGTCTAATATTGGATATGCCGTACAGTTTTATTTTTTTATTCGTTAGAAACATAACTTTTATACCTGCTGTCTTAATGAAACTTGGCAAACTTAGTGCACAATCATTGGGAACATCTCACTCGCCTCCAAATATCATCGTCCATGCAGTCCTACTGTTGAAACGACGAGCGAAAAACAAAAATTCCTACTGAGACAGTGATGAACACACTTTCCTTTAATAAACATATCACTCACCTCTAAATATCTACGTCCCAGTTGTCCTACGTTTACAGCGACGAGCCCGATGAGACCAGTTATGGTGGCGGCCATCTTGCTTTTTGGAAAATTGGTCCGACCTCTTTTTCAACCGCAACTAGAGAATTGATCCCTATTAACGACTCAAACTCAATATATGAAGCGGAGAACAACTAGATGCCCTTCTTAGGTCTGCCCCAGCACTCGAGCAACGTCACCCTTAACGTATCGGCTCGAAAGCAAAAGTTCCGTCCGTGCACGCTTCCGCCGCCGCAGCTTCGCATGCGAAATGGCGCCGCAGGTTGATGAACGCGCCTCACTGTCGAACGCCAGATCCTCCGCCAGCGGCGCTACGCGCGTTTTTCAAGGCGCCGCCTATTGTTCCCGCACGGAGCGTGTATATATATATATATATATATATATATATATATATATATATATATATATATATATATATATAAAACGAAAGTGGAGGAGATCCAGGAAAGGCCTTTCTTTACTGCACCGACGTTTCAAGCGGGGACCGCTTTTTTTCAGGGTGAATGGTTGTGAAATGTCCTCTTTTTCTTGTTGATGTTCGTGTGGAAGAGGAAGAGTTACTATGAAGGGTATTAAAAATATTCAGAGGAGGAGCAAAAAAATTATCGTAAATCTTTGAAATTAGTAATTATAAACAATGTTAACCCAATTCAATAAAATGAAATAAATTGATTTGTAGTATTTGGCACAGTCTTTGTTGCAGCTCCTGAGCACAATCACCCCCGAGCAACCGGAGCGCACACAAAAGTAGCAATGAGGATGTGTTCGGGATTAGCACCGCTTCGGGAGCGGAGATCTAGACCACGCAAGGGTGCCGTGGCGGTTTTTTTGAAGTATTTATGTCATATTTGAATGATGCTTACGCGCCCAAGAATTTAACGCAGCGGAAGGATTACCACGGGACGCACGCTCACGAGGATGTTCACGAGAGGCGTGGAACGAGCTCACGATGGCAGGCGCCTTTGGTGCAACAATGTCATCGACACGCTCGGCTAGTACAGTCCGTGCAAAACCAAAATAATTGTGTGGCCTCGGCCCTACACACAGCGTGGCAGCCAAGTGAGCACGCCTGGACTTGCATTAATACCACAAGCAACCGAATTGAATTTGTGAATGAGAAAAGCCTCCTTCAACTCTCTGTCGTGATCAGAGCTAAATCCAGATTCCAGAAGGATGACACGTATTTTTTCAATGCTATGCTCTTTAAGATGCATGTGTTTTGAGAAGGGGAGCGTGGTTAAGGACTTGATATGAGACTTGTGATTGTTGAAGCCCAACCGAAATGAAGTACTGGTTTGTCCTATATAATCCATGTTACATAGTTTACAGCGTAAAAGATAAATAACGTTACGCGTACCGCAGTTGAGGTTTCCAGTGATTTTGAAAGAAAAGCCAGAGTTCGCGCTAGTGACAAGATTGGTGGTTTCGACATATTCACAAATTTTACACCTGGGCGTCTGGCAAGGTCTACAACCAGAAACGTCAGAAGTTCTATTTTTCGAGTGCACCAATATGTCCTTAAGGTTTCTACCTCGTCGATATACCACGCGTGGTGATACCGGAAAAAGGGTGCGTAATTTATCGCTTTGCTGCAAAATACTGTGATGTTTCCTGAGAATATTGTTTAAATTTGGAAGGCGGGCTGAATATATAACCACCAGGTTGGCGTGCTCGTTTTGTGACATTTTGGGTTGGGGTTGATTGATAACTTGCTCTCGGTCGAGAGCACGTGCTTTTTCAATGGCTTTATCGACAATGGCTGGTGGATAATTCTGCTTGGATAGCACGAGTTTCAGATTGCTGGCGTTGCGTTCGAATTCATCTAAACTGGAGCATATTCTCCGGAATCTGTGAGCTTGAGAATAGGGAATACTTGTTTTGCAATGTTTAGGGTGGGAGCTCTTGAAGTGCAGGTACTGTTGACGGTCCGTCGACTTCCTGAAGAGTTTTGTTGTAAGAGCATTCCCGCTGATCTCGACTGTTACGTCAAGAAAATCAATGCTCGTTTTAGAATAACTGTGCGAAAACGTAATACTGGGGTGGAGACCGTTGAAATCCCGAATGAAGTCTGTGCGTGCTGACTCCCCGTGTGCCCATACCATAAATATATCATCGATGTATCGCTTATAAATCAGAGGTTGCAGAGAGCGACTAGACAAGAAGTGTGACTCTAAATCGGCCATAAAAAGATTTGCATAGTTAGGGGCCATCTTTGTGCCCATTGCAGTTCCCCGAGTCTGTAGAAAGTGTCGTCCTTCGAATTCAAAGTTGCTGTGTTCTAAAACTAACCTGAGAAGTGTTGCGAGGACGTCGTTGTTGACACGAATTGTTGGAGGGTCATTGTTATACGCCTTGATTACTGCTTCGATGCCATCCTGGTGAGGGATGTTTGTATATAAGGACGCAACATCCATGGTGACCAGGATTGCGTCAGTAGGAATTACAAGTTCTGTTATTTCTCGAAGAAAGTGATTTGTGTCCTTTATGTATGATGGCATCGTAGGGGGAAGGTTCATAATAAGGAAATTGACAAAGCTAGAAATTCTCTCTGTCACCGTGTCTATTCCGGATATAATTGGTCGTCCTGGATTTCCTTGTTTGTGAATTTTAGGTAATGTGTAAAAGCGGCCAGCCTTTGGATAGGCCGGCTTCATTGCTTTATGCATCTCCTCCGAAATGTCTCCATTATCCAGCATTAAGTCCAAAGTGTCCGTTATTAGTTTAGTGAATTTTTTGGTCGGATCTGCTTGAAGTTCTTTGTAAAATTGTTGGTTCATTAGCTGGCGAAATCCTTCATCTAGATAGTCTTGCTTATTCATAAAAACTATGGCTCCTCCTTTGTCAGCAGGTTTAATAATAATATCATCTCTTGAGCTGAGTTCACGCATAGCGATGCGTTCAGCAGGAGTGAGATTGTGACGTAGACATTTTCGTTGTTGATAGTTTCTGATCACATCACGCTGTACCGATTCGATGTACAAATCAAGGTACTTGTCGCGTTGCTCTTTTAGAGTCCATGACTTATTCGAAGTATTAGGAATGCGCTCTCTGGTGTCTTGCGGATGATCGTGGAAATACTCTCTGAGTCTCAGGTTTCTTGCGAAGTTATCGAGGTCCTTATATATTTGGAATTCATTGTATTCTCCTGACGTGGGGCAGAAGCTGAGGCCTTTGGAACACAATGAGAGTTCTGTGGCGGATAGAATAACACTGGACAAGTTTATAATATTCAGCGATTGGATGATCATTCCTCCGGTAGATGAGCACTCATTAGGTGCAACTTGTGTGCATCGTTGTGGTTGGTTCGAGGTAGTGAGTTGTGAACGGGGTTGAATGTTAGTATGGTCATCTGAGACATGGATCATGTCAGTACGGCGAGTGACAGTGTTAGAAGGAGCAGCCGATAATCCTACCACATTGTCGCGTGCCAACTTTTTATTTTTTGTTACGTTAATTTCATTTAGTCTTTTTCGCTCGTATTCTTCAAGCGCGTTTTTCTCGGTGTGAGATAATAATTTGCTGGACTTGTAACTATACTCTGTGACGGCAAGGTCACCGGCGCGTCGTTCACTATGTTTGACAATAACATTAACTAAATCCAGAGATGCTCTTTTTAAGACGTTATTCCACTCATTCATTTCTCCTTCGTTAAGGGTATTCATGGAAGGAGTCAAATGTAAGCTTAGTCCCCTAGGCGCGGTGCCACAATTAAGATACCTACGGAGTGTTTGAGCATGAAGGCGAAATCGTAATCTCTTATCTATACTTTTGCGTGCCTCCATAAAACATCTTGAATGATGTTGCTCGGGGGTGATAGTACCTGTTGTCCCAGCGAGTCAGAACGAACTCCGCAGATTGTAGGGGTGACGGGGCGTCGGGTCAGTTGTCGGAGCAGAAGGGATTCCCGACTTAGGCTGGGATGAAGATGGAGGCAGGCTGGGAAATTCTTCCGAAGATAGGGCAACGCATGGACCCGAAGAAGCCCGCGAAGTGGAAGGAAGAGGGCTCTGCGCTGGAGCACTCATGGGCTCAGACTCGATTACCCTGGCCGGTGTCCGGGGACCAGGCTCCGGGATACTTGGAGCCGGATCGTCGGGGTTCCTTCGCGCGGCCGAGGCACTGGTAGATGAAGATTCGGGTAATATGCATTGTGCCCACAGAGCGTCAGGGCTTCTTCGAAGAGTTGTAGCCCTCACGGCCGCAGACACAAGACCAGCGGGCTGTGCCTGAAGAGCGCCAGGGCTTGTTTGCGTTGCTGGGGGAGAACCAGATGGATTGAAGTGACTTCTCGAGCTAGGCGAAGCAGCAGTTGGAAACCTGTCAAGCCAGTGAGAGGTCCGGTTGGTTCTGCCATATCCAAGCACAGCCTTGAAGTGCTCCGACAGCAGTGCGACGCCTTCAAAACTAGTGTGAACACCATCGGCCGCTGGAACACAACTCTCATTGTGTTCCAGAGGCCTCAGCTTCTGCCCCACGTCAGGAGAATACAATGAATTCCAAATATATAAGGACCTCGATAACTTCGCAAGAAACCTGAGACTCAGAGAGTATTTCCACGATCATCCGCAAGACACCAGAGAGCGCATTCCTAATACTTCGAATAAGTCATGGACTCCAAAAGAGCAACGCGACAAGTACCTTGATTTGTACATCGAATCGGTACAGCGTGATGTGATCAGAAACTATCAACAACGAAAATGTCTACGTCACAATCTCACTCCTGCTGAACGCATCGCTATGCGTGAACTCAGCTCAAGAGATGATATTATTATTAAACCTGCTGACAAAGGAGGAGCCATAGTTTTTATGAATAAGCAAGACTATCTAGATGAAGGATTTCGCCAGCTAATGAACCAACAATTTTACAAAGAACTTCAAGCAGATCCGACCAAAAAATTCACTAAACTAATAACGGACACTTTGGACTTAATGCTGGATAATGGAGACATTTCGGAGGAGATGCATAAAGCAATGAAGCCGGCCTATCCAAAGGCTGGCCGCTTTTACACATTACCTAAAATTCACAAACAAGGAAATCCAGGACGACCAATTGTATCCGGAATAGACACGGTGACAGAGAGAATTTCTAGCTTTGTCAATTTCCTTATTATGAACCTTCCCCCTACGATACCATCATACATAAAGGACACAAATCATTTTCTTCGAGAAATAACAGAACTTGTAATTCCTACTGACGCAATCCTGGTCACCATGGATGTTGCGTCCTTATATACAAACATCCCTCACCAGGATGGCATCGAAGCAGTAATCAAGGCGTATAACAATGACCCTCCAACAATTCGTGTCAACAACGACGTCCTCGCAACACTTCTCAGGTTAGTTTTAGAACACAACAACTTTGAATTCGAAGGACGACACTTTCTACAGACTCGGGGAACTGCAATGGGCACAAAGATGGCCCCTAACTATGCAAATTTTTTTTATGGCCGATTTAGAGTCACGCTTCTTGTCTAGTCGCTCTCTGCAACCTCTGGTTTATAAGCGATACATCGATGATATATTTATGGTATGGGCACACGGGGAGTCAGCACTCACAGACTTCATTCAGGATTTCAACGGTCTCCACCCCAGTATTACGTTTTCGCACAGTTATTCTAAAACGAGCATTGATTTTCTTGACGTAACAGTCGAGATCAGCGGGAATGCTCTTACAACAAAACTCTTCAGGAAGTCGACGGACCGTCAACAGTACCTGCACTTCAAGAGCTCCCACCCTAAACATTGCAAAACAAGTATTCCCTATTCTCAAGCTCACAGATTCCGGAGAATATGCTCCAGTTTAGATGAATTCGAACGCAACGCCAGCAATCTGAAACTCGTGCTATCCAAGCAGAATTATCCACCAGCCATTGTCGATAAAGCCATTGAAAAAGCACGTGCTCTCGACCGAGAGCAAGTTATCAATCAACCCCAACCCAAAATGTCACAAAACGAGCACGCCAACCTGGTGGGTACATATTCAGCCCGCCTTCCAAATTTAAACAATATTCTCAGGAAACATCACAGTATTTTGCAGCAAAGCGATAAATTACGCACCCTTTTTCCGGTATCACCACGCGTGGTATATCGACGAGGTAGAAACCTTAAGGACATATTGGTGCACTCGAAAAATAGAACTTCTGACGTTTGTGGTTGTAGACCTTGCCAGACGCCCAGGTTTGAAATTTGTGAATATGTCGAAACCACCAATCTTGTCACTAGCGCGAACTCTGGCTTTTCTTTCAAAATCACTGGAAACCTCAACTGCGGTACGCGTAACGTTATTTATCTTTTACGCTGTAAACTATGTAACATGGATTATATAGGACAAACCAGTACTTCATTTCGGTTGCGCTTCAACAATCACAAGTCTCATATCAAGTCCTTACCCACGCTCCCCTTCTCAAAACACATGCATTTTAAAGAGCATAGCATTGAAAAAATACGTGTCATCCTTCTGGAATCTGGATTTAGCTCTGATCACGACAGAGAGTCGAAGGAGGCTTTTCTCATTCACAAATTCAATTCGGTTGCTTGTGGTATTAATGCAAGTCCAGGCGTGCTCACTTGGCTGCCACGCTGTGTGTAGGGCCGAGGCCACACAATTATTTTGGTTTTGCACGGACTGTACTAGCTGAGCGTGTCGATGACATTGTTGCACCAAAGGCGCCTGCCATCGTGAGCTCGTTCCACGCCTCTCGTGAACATCCTCGTGAGCGTGCGTCCCGTGGTAATCCTTCCGCTGCGTTAAATTCTTGGGCGCGTAAGCATCATTCAAATATGACATAAATACTTCAAAAAAACCGCCACGGCACCCTTGCGTGGTCTAGATCTCCGCTCCCGAAGCGGTGCTAATCCCGAACACATCCTCATTGCTACTTTTATGTGCGCTCCGGTTGCTCGGGGGTGATTGTGCTCAGGAGCTGTAACAAAGACTGTGCCAAATACTACAAATCAATTTATTTCGTTTTATTGAATTGGGTTAACATTGTTTATAATTACTAATTTCAAAGATTTACGATAATTTTTTGCTCCTGTTCTGAATATTTTTAATACCCATCATAGTAACTCTTCCTCTTCCACACGAACATCAACAAGAAGAAGAGGACATTTCACAACCATTCACCCTGAAGAAAAGCGGTCCCCGCTTGAAACGTCGGTGCAGTAAAGAAAGGCCTTTCCTGGATCTCCTCCACTTTCGTTTTACGTCCAACCGGCCCGTTGAACCTTCTTACCGTATATATATATATATATATATATATATATATATATATATATATATATATATATATATATATATATATATATATATATATATATATAACTGAGAATAAAACCCTTTGTGACAAGAGCAAAGGGTTTTTACTTCTCAGTTATATACCCACGCCTTCGGCCTTCCGCCACCATGCCCGTTCTATATATATATATATATATATATATATATATATATATATATATATATATAAACTTTTATATTCCAAGAACTGATTGAGATCATGAAGAACGGTACATTTTCTAAGGGTCTGACAGTTTCTCTCGCATCAAAACAGTTGTTACAATTTTATAGAGATAATTTATGAAAGATGAAACATCAAAGCAGACATTAAAGATCAGGTTTTTTGTAGCTCAAAATTTGTTTTGGCAAGTCCAACGCCGTAACGCGCACAGAATATTTTTTCTACGCCAGCGGGAGAGTGGCAAAAGTCACAAATAAGTTATTTTTCCCCTTACCAAAGTGGAACAAGGCTTATTTTTTATATTTATTAGTATGAACAGATTACCTATGCATGCAGTCGTGGTAAATCACAGTAACACTCCATGATAAACCAGTGTACGTAGTTTATTGTTTTCTGTATTCATTCGGCTTATGCCCTACAATCAAAATTCTGATAACGGTGATTTATTATAATTTTCAAGGGAGTGTAACAATGAATTGAAGCATCAATAATTAGTACGTGTAAAGTATTTTCATCCGAATTGTTTTGTGATAATATTCACGCATTTATTAATTTCACTGCTAATGAATGGTGAGTTCGATGACTACAAAACCACACTACTACACTGTTAGCAAGTCCCGTGTATTTGGTGAATATTTGGGGTGAAAAACACGCTATTTACACAAATTACCATAAATTTACACGTTGAGTAACGGATAATTCGTTCAAAAATCATGCGAGGTTGTAAAAAACGTGTTTTCGTTCGGTCATACACGCATAACCGTGTAGCCGACCTCGAAAACACGCTCCAC